CAATGCGGGCAACAGTCCTGGGGAGGCCATTTTCTCCCTGCGGATCTGCGGCGTAGTCCTCCGCCAAGCCCAGGCCGAGTCGGTGCAGAGGGCATGCATGGGCAATGGTGCAGGAGGAGGCGGAGGAGGAGGAGAAGGAGGAGGAAGACCAGGAGGAGGAGGAGGAGGATGTGGGAAGAACGAGGAGGGAAGAGGGAAGTGCGTCGTCCTCCTGCTCGCCCTCATCTCCTTCCTCATCCCTCCTTCCCCCCCTCGCGCGCGGGGAAGACGTGACAGAGGATGGTGAGGTGAGGGTGCTCACAGACCTCTGGTGGCGTCTAGAGAACATAGGGGCGCCCCGTTCTTGGGCTGGGGCCTCGGGAGTCCCACTTCGGGGCCCAGAGCCTACAGAAAGCAACCCATGGCGCGAGACTCAATATCACAGACGCTGGGGTGGAGACCTCCGGACGCAGACGTACTTTCGACAGCCAGGTGGACGCATGAGATGACGGGATCCAGGGCACCGTTCACAGATGGACAAACTGGACTCTAAGTGCTATGCTGTGCCGCCTCCTGCACCTGCTCCTTACCGCCTTAGCAGGTCTGTGTTGGCAAGCGGGCCTTCCTGCGGATTGACGGCCACTTGCAGCAAGCACCAGTGCTCCTCGACGGCAGCGGAAACACGCCCAAGAGGAAGCATAAGGACGAGGAAGGCGCGGGTGAGCACAAGCACGAGGGGAGGCAAAAATAATCAACGCTTGAATACAAATGGGTGTCGCCATTATCAAAATGGGGCCACTGAAGAAGAGACAGCATGAAGGACCGAACCAGACAATGACATCGAGGGGGCCCGCCAGTGGCGATCACTATGGCACCACTGCAGGAGCAAATGCTGAAGAAGGTGAGAATCAGACAGGAGTAACTGTCCCCAAACAGCGTGAAAACATGGACCATGGAGGAGGGAGGGGGGAAGGTGGACATTACATCCGCTGTCGGCGTCTCATTGCTCCAGCGCCACTCAAACCACAAGAAGGCCTCGACCATGGGCGGACAGGAACGCCATCATGCCGCGAGGCACTGAGTGGAGTGTCCTCGAGCCAACCCTCGAGGTCTTGACCTTGAATGCGGTGAGGGCATTGGATAAGGACCCATTGCATAAATCCGCCGACCCTGTCGGCGTGTGTGCGATGTTGTTCCTTTTGAGTCGTCGTCGTCGTCGTCGTCACCGTCGCTGCTCCGCCCTTTCCCTGGGCCCTCCTCATCAAGCGATCCAGCCCGACGGACATCAGAGTCGAAGGGAATCCCCTACCCTTTTGCTCCCTTCCCCGCAGGGGGATGGGGGCGGGGGGTCGCGGTGGGCGCCCCCGGGGTCGTGACTCCCCCCGGGGGGCCCCCCCTGTAGACGAAAGGGCCCAGGGGGTTGTTCGCCGGTGGACCCGGACTCAGGGCCCCTTCCCCCGCCTCCCCCCCGGTGGACCAGGGCTCCCCCCCCCCCTGCCTTCCTCCTCTTCCTCCCGGACCCCCCCCCCCCAAGGGCACCCTCCTCACTGTTATCTGCTGTTGCTGGGTGCTGCGCATTTTCCCATATGCCTCCAAGAGGCCTCAGATCCGTTCCGACGCGACTCCGGGTCGTCGTCGTCGTCGTCGTCGTCGTCGTCGTCGTCGTCGTCGTCGTCGTCGTCGTCGTCGTCATCGTCGTCGTCCACCTTCAGGGTCGGCGGCACTGGCCGTAAGGCCTTTTCCATAATCCAGGGTCTGGAAGCCAGTGGAACTCCAATAATGGATTGGCCATGGATATCACCGCCGCCCTCATCAGAAAAGGAACCCTCCAGGAACAGGGTCTGAAGCCTCCTGGGCACACTCCTGAACCAACGCCCCAACCGTACTGCAATCACGCATTGAATGCCCCATGCGCCAGACTTCCACGATTCGCGGGGCTTCCTGGGGTTCCCCGCGTTGTATGCCCAGAGGCCTCGGGAGCGTGGCTTGGGGCATCAACCTCCAGCGTAAGCCTACGATGAGCGAAGGACGGTCCCAAGGGTCCGTGCTGGAGCCCTCTGAAGGGCCTCTTAGACCGTATTCGAGGCCCTCGGGGCGGGCCCAACAAGCTAAAATTATTGAAAAGACACGCCCCTCCAGTGTTTGCACGTAGGGATTCTGACGTTTGTCTTCCACAGAACTGGGCTCGATTGTCGGATCCAACGCCTCGTTGCCGCCGCCGCCGCCCCGTCACCGCCTCGTCGCCGCCCGTGGCCGCCGCCCCGCTGGGATCCCCCCCAGTCGCAACCCAGTCAGTTACAAGCCAAGCAAATCAAGTGCAATCCGCTGGGTTGAAATCCAATCGATTACATGACATCGGGCCTCTGTTCTACAAAGAATATAGACTCTACCCCCCCCCCAGCGTTCTATGTACATCATCATCGTCTTAAGCGTGACCAGCATCGGCGCCGTCATTGGCCTTACCATCGTCACCGCCATCATCGCCATCGTTACTATCATCATTGTGTCCGCCTTGATCGACATCACCATGATACCGCGCCCGCGCGAGTCACCGACTCGCAGTGAAGCAGGCGCGCGCCAGCGCGGCCCGTGAGACGCGTTGAGAATTCCCCATCGGTTAGCGCCACCGCGGCCGCATCGGCTGTGCCAAGCTTGCTGGCCGCTCTGCGTGCGAGCTTGCGCGCGATAGCGCGGCCGCGGAAATGCGCCAGCCAATGCCAAGCAACAATCGCAATCGCGACCGTATGTTGGCAAGCTCTTGGTGAGAGGGTAGGATGATTGCGCGAGCACTGTGGAGTTGACGAATCCAAGTTCATAGGTGGATTGCAACACATTTCCCAAACAGTGCTTAACCTCAAGGACTTTTGCATGTTCGTATGGAACTGGGCTGGTGTGGCGGTCTGGCGGCTATGTTGTCGCCGTCGCCGCCCCGTCGCCGCCCGAATAGATTGCACACCACGCAGATTGTACAATCAATATGTGTATATTTATATACAAAACTGCAGTGGCGCTTCGCGCCATGCACCTTGGTCCTTGAAGTTTGGTATGCAGGCGGAAATGGCAGGAAGGTCCTTGCTGCCTTTTCTGGCATCGCCGTTATAATAATGTTGTTCGTTATCCTCCCTCCATGATTATGTTTCGTCATTCTCGTCGTACCCTGGGCATGCTCCCCGTCCTCCTCAGCTCTTTTTGCGGAGGCTTCTCCTTGGAGAACCTCAGGGGGACTCACCAAAGTTCTCAGGCTTTCTTAAAGCCTTCTGGAGGCCTCCTGGGCGTGTTCTGGGAGCCTCTGGGGCTTCCTCAGGCCAACCTGCCTCTAACCGCGGTCTCCCTGAACGCCCCGGTCACGATTTGGAATGCTTCGGAGGGTGTCTTGGGCCATCTTGGGCCGCCATGGGGCTCTCTTAGGGCCATCTTGGACCCCTGTTGTGCCGTTTTGGGGCTCTCTTGGACTGCCTGGAAGCCCTTTCGGATGGTTGTGAGGCGATTTTGGAGCCTCCCAGGCGGCTTCGGACGCCCAGAAGACCGCCGTCTTGGAGCGTCGGGAAGCCGAAAAGAGGAGAACCCCAAATTCACCAAAAACCTACGTAAAATCAATGATTGTTCCCTCTTGGGACATTCTTGGGGGTGTTCTTGGACGCCTCTTGGAACGTTTTGGAGCGATCTTTGGGGGTATGACGGCTTCTTGGAGCGCTCTTGTGTTGTCTTGGAGGTCTCTGGGACGTCTCCGAGGACCCCCCTGATCGCCCCAGGTGCGCTGCGAAGGCTTGGCAAAACGCCCTGCGAGGCCCAGGGGGCCGCTTCGAGGCCCGTTCGGAAGGTCCCAAAGCCCAAGATCTCGGGAATCCGGTTTCGGGGGGGGGGGGGACGGGTTTTCTCCCCGCCGGGGCTTATAAAAATATAAGAAGAGGAATGCGTAGCACCCCGCAGATGCGGGCAAGAGTGAGGGGGCGGTGGGGAGGTCGGCAGCTTGCGAGACTCTGGAGAAGCCCGCCGCAGGCGCAAACAGTTTGTCAAATTATACGCCGAGGCCGCCGCAGGCACCGATTTTTTCGTTAAACCAATGTGGGTAGGTCGCGGGTGGGTCGCGGGTGTAGAAGGCAGGATGTTCTCCTTTCTGAGAAGGAAATAAGTTCTACCACCCTCCCCCCTATCGATTCCCCAGGAACCGATGCAAAACACAGACGATTCTGACCCAATGTCCATCCTACGTCTGACTTCATATTATCCCAGCCAGGCCGGTATCCCCCCCCCCCCCCCCCCCTCGGTTCCCTTGGAAAAAATATGCGCGCACACTCGTTGATCACAAATCATCAGTTTTCCAAAAATCAGTTTGAAAAATTTGACGGAGTGCACACGCGCGCGTCGTCGCGCGCGCATGCCGAAATCGTCCGAAAACCGGCGGTTTCGTAAGGATTTCAAAATCGAGTGCCCGAAACGCACTGGGTGGGTCAAGAGAGGCTTCGCTTGCTGCCCGCCCGTGGGCGCCTCGTGAGCACCTCGTGCGCTGGGTGGCTCAGCCGAGGTTTCGCCCGGTGCCCACCCGTGGGCGCCTCGCGGGCGCCTTGTGGTCGGCCGAGGCTCGGCCTGGTGCCCGCCCGTGGGCGCCTCGTGGGCTCGTGGGCGCCCTGTGCGCTGGTCAGGCTCGGCGGGGTTTCGCACGGTGCACACCCGCGGGCGCTTAGTGGGCGCCTCGTGCGCTGGGTGGGTGTGCCGAGGCTTCGCCTGGCTTGCGCCACACATGCATATTCATAAACATATATATATATATATGCATGTATCTAAATACGCATATATAACACCACATTGCTTGCATCCCATAGCTTACACCACACTGTTTGCATCACCTGACTTACACCACAACGCTTGCACAACATAGCTCACACAACTTAGGTTGCAACGTCTCGCTTACACCACATTGCTTACGCCACACGGCTTGCACAGCATAGCCAACACCTTCATCACATAGCTTGCACCACATAGCGCGTAAGACATGGCTTGTAACGCATCGCTTGCATCACGCGTATTACATTGCACAGCTTGCACAGCTTGCACCGCGTAGCGCGCATCACATGGTTTACACATCCACAGTGCAAGACCTTACTGCTTCGGGCCCGCGCTGGCGAGCATTACTCCAGTAATGAGATTGGAAGTGGCGGCCTAAGCAAGTGGCGAACTTAGTAAGTGTAGCTGGCAACCCCCTGCCCTCGCTCAGGGTTTCGATCTGCCGAGATCTGGCGGAAAAGCTAGACCACGCTCGTCAACAAAACACTCTTCTGGCTGGGCCAGATCACAGGGAACAACACGCTGATCAGTAGTGTGACCCCGTCAGAACTCCACAGAATCCCCCGTGGGCTACACGATATTTTGGTGCACGCTGCTCACGGGCCGCCTCCGCGCTCTCGCCCCCACGGCTGGGCACGCCGGGCGGCACGCCGCGGGGAGAACGAAGCAGAAGAGGCCACCGCCGCCCAGCACGCGCACGAGGCTGGCATGGATGGGGCACGGCGACGGGGCCTCTATGTGGCCGTCGCGGGGCCGCCTCGTGGCCTAGATCTAGCTGCGGTGATGGCCTCGTGCCTCGCACCGGAACTATACCATGCTGGGGAGGGGGCGGAGGAGCAGAGGGTAGGGATGGGTGGGGAGAGAGGAAGAGAGGATAAGGCGGCCTGGAGGTGGGGCAGGAACCCGCCAGAAGGGACGAGAGGTGCAAGAGACAAGTGCGCCCGTCAGGCTCATGGCGCACTAGCAGATGGCCATGGCCCGAGCGGGTCACGAAAAATCGCCAGACCGTCGGCACCTCTGCAGGGTGGAGGAGGCCACGTTGGCGGGGTCACCAGCTGCAAACCGACGCCACGGTGGGAGGAACCCACCGTCTGGGCGGATCGCAGCGGTCTAAGTCGATCGAGAACTTCCTCTCGCTAACCCTCTTCGAGGGGGCGCCACGCACTGGGCGGGCACGGCGCTCCGCGCTACTCGCGGGAAAAGCGCAAAAAGGGCGGCAGGGAGGGAGTGCAAATGGGCGGCGGAGGGTATGCAGAGTATGCAGTCCAAGGGCAGAATCTCCGCAAATCTGTCCGCCTCGAAAATTCGCCTCCCGTCGCTGGCCGCCGCGGCGAAGCCTAGCCCACTCAAGGGCTAAGAAGAACAATCTAAAGTATCACCTTTTGCGGCAACCATGTCAAGTGGGCGGCGGAGAAAAAAAAACGGCCTTACGCGAGAGGACACGGCGACCTCACGCGTGGCTCACGCAAGCAGCCAGCGTGGCACTCCACAAGGAAACGGAGTGCCGCTCCCGCGCGACCTTACGCGGGCAGCGCACGCGCGACTGCCCGCGGAACCAGCCTCCATTTTTCTGCGTCGCCCAGGTGGTGGTGGGGTACTGTGCATGCACAGCGTGGCTGCCCTCGAAGAGACCAAGACACCACACGCGCACTTGGGCCGCCGCTGGTTCCTCCCGTGGCGCGCGGAGGAGGAGGGTCGTCGCCGATCCAAGAGGCCCGCGAGGACCTCCGAAAGTCCGTGCTGATGCAATTTCTTATTGGTGTCTGCAGTCGGACCTACGCCGGAAGAGCAGCCCTAAAGAACATGAGACCCTCCGTCGGCCAGAACACACAGGCCATCCAAGGGCACCGTCCCCAGGATGCACAAGAACATCCAACAAGCACGTAGAACACGAGGGTACCGTCCCCGAGGTCGACCTCGATCTTGTACCTCGGTCCGACTGCAGTGGCTAGTCGTGCTCTCCCAGCAGAGGGGGGGGCGGGGGGCCCGCGAGAGGCGTGGGTGTCTGCGGTCCGCGGATCCTCGCGATCGCGGCCGTCCTGCGGCCGTCGGCCGCGCGACCAAGGCTCGCGCTGCAAACGGCGGGTGGGGGCCCTCTGCTGCTGGGGCGGCGCCAGGGCTCTCACGCGCACACGCGGAGGGTCGAGAACACCTTCGAGAAAGGCAGCGCTATCGTGCTGGGAGGGAGGGGCTGGGACGATGCAGGGCACGACTGTTTCACGAGCGATACGGTGGGTGACCTGGTCATTGCTCCCAGCCCCATCCTCCCAACCCGGCAGTTCTCTCTCTGGAACCTTTTTCTCGGTCAGGTCGATCTTCCACTTCTGCATCGGGCACTCCTTGAGGCCAACCAGGGAACGCTTCGGGCTGACGTCGCCGCGGTCCACATGCCAACCGATGTTCTGCGAGGCGAGCGCGGCCTCCGGGTACTTCTGGACGGGGGACAGGTCCGAGCGGATGTGCATGCGCTTGGCCAGCCGCATCGACTGCGCGGACTTCCACTCGGAACCGCTCTCGCCAAGGGCCCCGCGCGCATTGGCCCTGGAAGAGAGTCTCGCGGCGAGAGGGTTGATACTCTGCCGCATCTCCCGGATGTCGTTGAAGTTGATATCCCTGTGGCGCGAGGCCGCCCCATCTGGTGAGGCCACTGGCGGCAAGGAGCCGCCGTTGTGGGTGAGGCAAGGACTCGAACTGCACCGTTGGGCCGTGCCCGTGGCCTGCCATTGGTCAGGCAGCAGGCTGCTCCGGGAGAACCCTGCGGAGCTGCTCATGGTGTTTTTGCTCGGAACTCTCATCGGCGAGGAGAAGGTCATGGTGTCCTGGCGGGTTCCAATCGGCGAAGAGAACCGCATGGCGCCCGTTTGCTATCGCCACGGAATGCTTGAGCCAACTCACTGCTTGAGCATTGCAGACGAACAATCTTCGCAGATGCTGGATAACGCCACACGGGCACAGCCGACTCGCAGTAAGGAGGCCGCCACCAACGATCTGTTCAAAGCCTGACCTTGTGAACCACAAGCGATGGCATCAAGTCTGAAGCGGCGTATCCAGCAACATCTCGGCCCAAGCCCTTCCCCCAGACAAACCATGACGGATGCCTGGCAATAATACGGTGCGGGCTGAAAACGGATCGAATATTTTGGGATGATCCCTTGCCGCCCGCCTCCCACTCTGCCGTCATGATTGACCGCTTCCCTCTCTCGCGCCCCTCCCCGCACACAATCCTGTCACTCCTCTCGCCCCCTTCCCTGCACCGCCTCTTCCTCGACCTCTACATCATGCCCAGTTCTCTCCACTCCCCCGAACTCCCAGTCAATATGCGGGCTTTACAGAATCTGGAAGCCTGATGACACCAGCATTCACCTTCATCAATGGGGTGCCTGTACTTCGGCCACGTTTTGTGATGGCCCCAGAGCCCAGTGAAAACACCCAGGACGCAGAAGATGGAGAAAAGCATTTTGGCGCGATCTTGTTCGAGTCGCCAGAGGCTGTGGCTCTGCGTGCCTCACGACGGCTTCCGCCGAGAAAGGGGGTGACCATGCTTTTGCTGTTGCACTCCCTCCCGTAACGTCAGACTTGTTTAGCTGGGGCGGGCCCCCCGTGGTGGGGTATCGGTAGCGTGACGGACGACGACGACAGACAACGATGACGACGGCGGCGACGACGATGACGGCGACGACGACAGCGACGAAGACGACGACGATGACGACGACGACGACGAAGAACGACGAACAACGAGGACGACGGCGGCGGCGGCGGCGACAGCGGCCGTGACGGCGACCGGCGAGAAAGTGCAATTCACAGCGGTCCCCCCGCGAGAAGGGCAGAATAGCAGTGAGAACCATCATCATCATCATCATCATCATCATCATCATCATCATCAGCAGCAGCAGCACTAGCAGCAGCATCATCATCCTACTCATACTCCTCCTCCTCCACCTCATCATCACCATCATCATCAGCAGCATCATCATCAGCATCATCATCAGCAGCATCATCAGCATCAGCATCAGCATCGTCATCGGCACCAGCCTCATCATAATCATCAGCATCATCATCATCGTCATCATCAGCATCATCATCCTCGTCATCGTCATTATCGTCATCATCAACATCATCAGCATCATCATCAGCATCATCATTAGCATCGTCATCACCAGCATCATCATCAACAACCTCATTTTCATCATCATGAACATCATCAGCATCATCATCATCAGCAGCATCATCATCATCATCCTCATCCACATTATCATCCTTATCCACATCCTCATCCTTATCATCGTCCTCACTCTCATCCCCAGCCTCATCCTCATCATTAGCACCAGCATCATCATCATAATCAAAATCAGCATCATCACCAGTATCAATCAATTCCCCCTGGGCCTAGTGGCACTGCAGTAGACTGCGAGTGCCACAACGTGCTTTTGAGCACCAGAGCATGCCTGCCAACACCACAGCATGCCTGTGAGCACAACGTCGTACCTGTGGGGGAATCGCCTGCCCCCCCCACCGCCCCCGCGTGAGTTCGGTACCGTTACGGCGGCGGGGAGGGGAATGGGGGGGGGGGGGGATTGGGGGGGGGGGGGGGCGATCACCGTAACGGACGCTACGGGTTCGGCCACTGAAAAGCAGCCTCCATGCCCTCGCTGCTGACGATACCCTTGGAAGGGCGCTGTCCCCAAGCAGCCTGTCTGTATGGAGTATGCGCAACTCTCCCAAAGCCCGGTCCCGACTTCAGGAGGAGGAGGAGGAGGAGGAGGAGGAGGAGGAGGAGGGGGAGGAGGAGGAGGAGGGGGAGGAGGAGGAGAGGGGGAGGAGGAGGAGGAGGAGAGGAGGAGGAGGAGGAGGAGAGGGGGGGGAGGAGGAGGAGGAGGAGGAGGAGGGAGCCCAAAGGCCCGCCAAATCATCGGTGGCCCACCGAGGCCCCGCGCCCGCGAGCCGGCACGCGGCGACACCTCGAGGAAGCCCACGCAGCGCACGCGGGGCGCCCTCTCGAGGCGCCCGCGAGCGGGCCCGTGGCGGACCCCGGGAAAGACCCCCCCACTCTGGGATTCCACTGGTCCTCCTCCTCCCCTCCTCCTCCTCCTCCTCCTCCTCCTCCTCCTCCTCCTCCCTCCTCCTCCTCCTCCTCCCCCTCCTCCTCCCCCTCCTCCTCCCCCCCCCCCCGGGAACCGCGTGAGAGCGTCGCCGTGCAAGCACCGTGCCGGGATGAATGCTGTCGAGGTCCAGTTTCGCCTCCCGCACTTCGCCCAGCAGCGCCCGAGCCCGCTGCCACTGCTCGCCATCCTCGCCCCTACCTGCTCATCGGGTGGAGCTGCTGCCACTGATGTCGGCGTGCTTGGCCACACGCAGATCCCAACACCCAATGCTCAATGCACCAAAGCAGCGACGCACGTCTTCAGCTCATGGAAAAGCTTCGCAGAAACTGGGGTTGGTGCTCTCGGAGAGTTCATCTAATATAGGGGAACGCGCCCATTCCCTGCTTCATGTGAACGGTAAAGGTGCCCGTCTCCACACCACGAAATTCAATATGGGTGAAGGCGCCGCGTTTGTTTACGTTCGACTGCCCTACGTCAGTCAAGAAATTGAGCATTTTCCAATTTTGCCAAGGGATTGCTCACAACCCAATGCTGCGACACGGCAACCTCGGCTGAGGGAACTGCACAGCTGTCCTTCATCTCGCTGAGCAGTCACGAGGCCCGTTGCCGCATCGGGATCCAGCCTCGACTCCAACATCCCGATGAGCAGCGACGCAGCTCGCTGCCACTGCTAACCTTCGTCAGGGGTGCTGACACCAACGCTGTCGCTGATGACATCGGGCCTCAGCTTCGCCTCTCACATGTCTTTTGACAGCGTCAAAGCCTACTGCAACTGCTCACCCTTCTCGCACCCACTGATCCCAGCGTTGTAGATACAGCTGCTGCCACACACATATCGCTCAGACTCGCCAAGGTACGCTGCCACTGTTCGCCCTCCTCGCTCGAGCTGATCGCAGAGTGAAAGCTGATGACGTCGGGTTCCCACTTCGCCTACCACATCTCGCTCAACAGCGACAAAGCCCGCTGCCACTGCTGGCCCTTCTCGCACGCGGTGGTCCTAGCTGACTAGAGTGGACCCGTGGATGAAATCCGTGGCAGACAGATATGCTGTCCAGGGCTCCTGGGTGCAAAGAAAGGTGGTGCAGAAGAAACGGGGCGAAAAGAGAGGGTCTTGAGGCTAGCTGGAGCCCGTGTCGGGGGCCTCCCCGTGGCCACGCTGGGCCCTCTTGGGCCGCGGTCTTGGGGACCATCCGGGAGCCATCTGACATTGTCCTATAGCAGCTTGGGACCATCTGGGATGGTCTGGGGCCAGGTATGCGAGGAGGAGGAGGAGCAGGAGGAGGAGGAGGAGGAGGAGGAGGAGGAGGAGGAGGGAGGAGGGAGGGGGGAGGCAGGAGGGAGGAGGGAGGGAGGCCATCATCATTCAAGCCTGATGACTTTCTGTGTTTCCGCCTCTCAGAGGCCTCTTTTTGATCGCCGTCGGTTCCGTCGCCGGCCCTCTGCGGGAGCACGTCGGGGCATCGGGGCAGCCTCGGCGGGCGCCGAGACCATCAGGAGGCCGCCCTGGGAGCAGCTCTGCACGCGTCTTGGGGTCTCTTGGGCCTCCTTAGGGGCGTCTGACTATGGCGACCTTCTTGGGGCCACCCTGGCTTTCTTAGACCCGGTGGGGTGGTCGAGGTGCAGGCAAGGAGCTGTCTTGCAGCTCTGCAAGAACCGCCCAGGCTTTCTTGGACCGTGTTGAGGCAATCAGGGGCGATTTGGGGACGGCATTAGGACTCAATTGAGCTGTGTTGGACGCACATGGGCCCGTCACAAGGAGGATGAGGAGCAAAAGGACAAGAAGAGAGGGACAAGGAGGAGGAGGAGCGATAAGATACCGCGATGCTCTCTCTAGGAGCCTTCAGGGCGTCTTTGGGGCATTCACCTTGGCAGTCTTGGGGCCTGTTGGAAATGTATTGGGTGGTCGTTTGGGGCCTTCTGGAACTTCCTGGCAAATTTGCCGAGACGATCGATGAAAAGAGGCCGCGGGGGCCAAAACATTTGAATGTCCCTGGCGATTCATGTTCTGTTCGGCCCTTGTGACAATCAAGTGTGGACCCCTTGGAGCTCCCTGGGGCGATCTTCAGGACATTGGCCAATATGGCGGCCCTCTGGGACCGTGTCAGGCTGCGGTGGTCTCTCAAGATCGTCTCTTGGAACTTCTCGGGGCCGTCCAGGTGGCGCCCTGGATGCTGGGCCGGACCAGGTCAGGAGTGGGTGAGCGTTCTCCTCCTCCTCCTCCTCCTCCTTCTCCGCATCCTCCTCCTCCAACCGTGTCGGCCCAGGCAACCTGGGCTTGCCCGAATGTCTCTTCGACGCGGCTCGCTCGGGCAGGTCACGCATGGCGTGGAATCATCCCTTTTTGGCCTTGTGGAAATTGTGCGAGGGCGTATGTCACAGCGTTTGCCAACTATGCCTCCCGTTCCCACTGCCTGCACCGTGGCAGGCAGGCGCCGCAGAGAGTTCTTGAAAAGCAGAAGCAGATTCAGAGTGGTGGTGGGAAGTCGAAAGCTCCATGGCACAACACGTACAAGGGGGAGGACGGTCCGCCTGTGTTGCTACTGCGACGCCGAGACACGAGCAACAACACCCACCAGCGCCAGCTCCACTCGATCAGACAGCAGCGAAAGAAATGCTTGATACCATGGCAAAGGCGCACGAAGAAGACATAGCCCGATGGCCCAGGCGCAGAAGATGGTGCAGCTCTGGGGCAAGGGAGCGAACGGCAAAGACAGGCCTGCCGACAACCAGCTCGTGAACCTCACAAAGCTCACCTCGTTCCAACTGGAACAGCGCCTGGAGGACACGAACAAGAAGCTCCGCAAGTCCGAGGAGAGGCTTAAGGAGATAGATGATGAGCACCAGAAAGCTCTTGCCAACCGTGACGCGGAAAAGCAGATCTTGGACGACCGCATACTCAGGAAGCAGCAGCTCGAGAAGGCCGAGACCGAGAATTTCATCCG